CCTGTAACACCTTTTTGAAGGACTAGAGTAATGTAAAACTAATCTTCAAACAAAAACCAGCCCTTCCCCCAACCTGGCCCTGGCTGTACCACCTTCTCCTCAGCTTACTGTTTGATGCTTTTGGCAAGCAGAAACTGGAATTTTGCTTTCTCTGCTTGCAGAAGAGAGTACGAGGCATAACATCAAATTTTGCCAGAAGTGTTGCATGACCTATCTTTTTGAAATAAGAAATCATTCAAAATTCATGTGTTTTGAAATGGCTTTTCTGTCTCATGTTTAGAGTAGTTAAATAAGTGCTAAATAGCCAGAAAAGCTTTGCAGTTTTTCTTGGCTTTTCTGGCAAGAGTGATCATATCTGCTTTTCTCACTGCCAGCCCTTCTTAATCAATAAGTAGCTGAAAACTGTAGAGGTTTTATGAATCAGCTGCATGCTGCTTTCTGTGCTTTGCTGATTTACAGTGAGGGAAAAATGGGCTTAGTAGCTGATGGGCTAATAGGTGCTGGTTTTTATGCACTAGACATGATACTAAATATTCCTAAACATAGATTTATAGACATACTTTCAAAAATAATTATATTTAAAATTCTATTTTTCTTTTTTGGTTTATATTAATATAGTTATATTTTATTGTATGTCCCGAATTGTTATTTTGAAAGTAGTGTTCATCCAGTGTAGGATGGTCTGTGATCAATGTTATAATAAATTAGTGTTTTATAATAAAACGGTTCTTTAATAAGTACTGATCACTGTATTTCTGTATTTTCTTTAGTATGGTCTTGATGATTTGTTAAAATTTCTAATTGTTACTGTTAAGTTCCATTGCACTCAGCTATATCAATCAACTATTAAGGAAGTAAACTTTGAAAATGTAGTGGGGCAGAGGGACTAAAATGTGTATAAGGTTTAATTAATCATTATAGTCAGGAGGGCTAGGTGTCTTGCCAAAGGTCATAGGAAGCATTTGTGACCAAGGGAGTATAACACTCTTTGCTTTGTGTCCAATTCTTGTACTTGAATATAGTCACATTTCATGTGTGTTTTCTGGTATTTTCCATGTACTCCAGATATTTGTTATGGAAATCAAGTCCTTAAGTATCACATCTAGATGTTGGGCTTTTGTGGCAAGATAACAGTCCAAAAAGTGGTTCCTTGTTGAAGTGTTGGTGTTTATACTTAAATACCACATTTTCTTTAAAACTGTTCTAATTTTCAGTAGTAATGCTCTTTTTCTTTGTGCATGTTTTCATCAATTTTGCTGTAAACATGAGGCAGTTAACACTCGTTACTAATTAAAACTTGGTTTACTATTTACAATTAAACTCTATTTGTGTGTATTAGTTCCTCATCTTTTGATTTAGCTCAGTATGGTTGATTCAGAGATAATTTTTTTGTTAAATAAGAGATTTGACTACCATAAATAGGAAAAAGATAGGATAGTCTCATCACTTGAAATTAGTGAGATGATAAATAGGGGCATAAAACTTCCTAGAAATTCATCTATCCAGGCAGGTTTTTCTTTTTTCATGCTGTATTTGGAAAAAAAAAAAAAAAGTGGACATGTGCAGAAACTGTGAGTACAATTAGCGTCAAGCAGATAAATCCAACTCTAATCCTGTTTACGCTCTACATCAGACAGATGTGCTGAGATTGATTCAGACAAGCCCTTGGCTTATAGTAACTTTTTTTTAAGTGCCATATATTCTGGTTTTGTTAGATCTTTGTTAAATGGTAAGTGCTGTTAGTTTTGCTCTTCCTAATGCTTGTAACCTACTTTATGCAGGTTCCCTCTCTGCTTTCATGATGACAGGGCAGCCTGGTAGAAGAGATTATCTTTATTCCTTGTAATTAAATTGACTTTTTTTTTTCAGAAGATACAACAATGGGAAGTAGGTACTGAATTAAATAAATAGCATGATATCTAATAGATATACACTTAAATCTCTTGCAAGAACAGATGGTACCCAATATCTTTCTGAGTAATGTGAGAGGACAGTTAATGTTCTGAAACTGCTCACAATAACCAATATGATACTAACGAGCCAATACGGTTTTCAAAGTTTAAAAAGTGTCTAATACAATATATACTTCATTGCAAAAGTAAGCTTGGTTGTTACCTCATTCTAGAAATATTTTATAAATACAGCTCATTACTTAAATTTTCTTTATCTGGGTTGTTTTATAAAATTGTGCTGCATTTGTGATGGTCTTATTTTCAGTAAGCAGAGACAATGAAAATTATAGAATATGCCTGGGATTTTATGCAGATTTCTTTACAACTTTAAGATAAAATGGGCTGTCCTAATCCTCCTAGCTAATTCAGCATTTTCTCTAGAAAAACTTGAGGATGAAGGTTTTTTGCAATTCAGCATTCCTAGAGTTTATATCCTTTTCCAAGATGCCTCTGGAAATGTATTTCTGTAAAACCAACAAGGTCAGATAGTGGTTTTGAAAGTCTAGTGCTGACTAGTAAGAATATTTTATTTTAAATATCAAAAGTTTTGATATGCATCTGAGCAACATAACAATTTGATAAATACAGAGAAAGAGGAAGATGCACAAACAAGTAAATAACTGGCTGAAATAGTAATGAAAAGAAAATTCAGACCTTACCTGGCTTAAGACTAAATGCCATTTTATGAAGGCTAGTGGGGAATAAAAAGTGTTTTATCAGGCCTTCATTTTACTTGACTTGTGCTGGATAAATAGACTAAAGTTTGGAACTTAGTTCTGGTGCACATCCATAACATTGGCATAATAGAGTTCATGATCTCCTCAGCAAAACTAAGAGTTAAATCCAAACTGTGATTTATTTTAAAGAATGATTTATTTAAAAGTATTGAAAAAACAAACTCACTTAGAATATTTGCATTGATCTGGGGAAATGAAAGTTGCAGCTTAGTTACTGCTACAGAATGGTTGTGGTTATATTTCCTTTCTCCTAAAACATGTGTTGTGTGCTGGCATTTTCAGTGCACTGTATGTCTGACAGGGAGACGTTGTGAAAAAAACCTAAGCAGACCCCCTCAAAAATTCTGTTTTAAAAGTTAAAACAAGTCTTTAATGTAGATATTAAACTATGTAGTTCTGGGTAATTTGGGACATCACCAGTCAGTTTTTAATTTCAGGCCTACAAAGACTATTTACCCTGAAATGTTTTAGAAGAGCAGTACAAATTTTGACAGAAACTTAGATCTTGGGTTTAGTAATGTTAGTACCAAGTTTGCTTGTACAATGTTCACTTTGAGTTTCTGTAAAAGCATAGTTCAAATGGAATCAGTCATACAGTATTTTTTTCCTGCTCAGTTCCCTCATTTTTAAGGATACATTGACTGAAAATACTTTTTCAGCCGTTGTGTACAGTACTTCAGGATTTATGTTGGGGGTTTTAAAAAAATCATTTAGGTGAGTTTTCTCCTGTTTATTTGCTGTGTACTTCTGAAAATATGCACTACAGACAATTGCCTGTGTACTATCTCAATGCACACCAATATTTACTTGTCACAGTATTCCTGCTAGGAGTGGAATGATTTCAGTCCAGTTTTATACCTTAGTAGCTGATTTATGGAGATATTAGGATGATAAAATCTAACAAGTTGGGAAAAATATGTGGGAATTATAACAAGGTCATGCTTCTATTTGTTGCAGGCAATTTGGTACAGAACAGGAAAAAATGAATTTGTTGAGAACTGTGATGAGAAGTTATACTGACGAGCTTTAGCTATGTTAGCATGGCTGAGGAGAAGCCATCCAGGATTCCTGGATAGAGAAACGATCACTGCATAGCCTCCTTCCAGAAATGATGTTGAGAAATGCCAGTATCAAACTGTCACAAGAATTGACAAAGTCATTTTTTCCTGCCCAGAAAAAGTATATGACTTTCTGAAACCCTTAGCTTCATGTGGTGTAATGAAGCGGGGGGTGCTGTCCATCTTTCCCTGGGTGACAATTAAAATAGGTTTTCCCAACACTCCAGTACAGTATGTATCAGCTATTGATCAAACAGAATCTGCTACAGTTTTTGCTATTGAGAAAGCAGAGTTGTTGCTAGATTTGGGGAAGTTTTCTGGTTTCTAGCATTTCTTGCCTTGGGCTGGAAAGGGACCTTTACTGACGTGCTGTAGCAGGTCTGCTGTAATTATGAAGAAAGCAGGGAAAATTTTCTTTCTGTGTCCAAAGAATCTGATACCTGCAGGAAGGTCGGTATTGTTACTTCAGTTTGTGTATTTGACTTTGGTTTTGAGGAATCTGAGTGCAGCTCAAGAGAGCAGAAAAAGGAGAAGCCTATACCATAGTGCCTCAGTTGATAGATCTCCAAAAGGCACTTGGAAATGAAGTGGTAGCATCTGCAGCCACAGCATCCATGTAAATAACAGCCCCAAGATAACAAAACCTTCCCTGGGATGAGGATCTTGAACTGTCACAAGAACTTTTTTGAAACTGTTTTTCTTGCCTTCTAAGCTGAATTAATAAATCAAAAATGAAAGCAAAAACGGGTAACACAGTTTTGGCTTATTTGTCTGACTTTTTTCTTGACTGTTTTCTGACACATTTCTGCTATAAACACAAAAGGTAATTGTTGTATCAAATGAAAAAATATGGGAAGCATATAGTCAGCTTGGGTCATAGCACACTTTCTGATCTATGATTTACAAGTGTAACTGCTATGATTGCTGTGATTTAGGTGAATAGAATAAAGAATTTGCTTTTTGAATGCGAATTCAAAAATGTCTTTCTTAGAGTGAAATTTTATTAATTTTTTTGAACGCCAGAAAGCTGAGTAAATAACCTCTTTGAAATTGTTTTGTTTGTTCAGCTGGGTACATAACAAAGTTGGTAAAACAAAAGACCAGTGATTGAGGGAAATGATATGTCATAAGTTTCAATGAAAGCATGAACAGATCCAAGAAGTGAACCTAGAGATGAAGCCCTAACAATACTTTTAGTTGTTACTCCCAGTCACTGTAGTGATGCTTTTCTTTTTGTTTTTTTCCTCTTACAGGTGATTCCAGTGTGGCTTTACAGGCTCAAGAGGAGATTCTCGAAATGAAAGATGTATTTTCAGTAAAACTGAAACGTCGTCGTTTTGCAGGGCAAAAAAAAGGTGGTACTTTGTTGGGTATCACAATTTTTAAATGCTTGAATAAAGAAGAGAATAAGCTTACAGACTGTGCTATCCATTTAAATAACTTGAGTGAAGATCATTGTCAGTCATGGTTTAGACATCTGAAGGAAATTTTAAATGGTAAGCATTTAATTAAGGTTGATGTCACATTTCTTTCTGTTGGCAATACATGAGGCTGACTGAAGCTCAGAAACATCTTGCCTGTGGAAATTAAGACACATATAGGAATCTTAATTCTGGCAAATGTTTGCTACTGAAGTTGTACATAGTCAAGTGTAAAATCTAGAAAAGTGACAATAATTGACTAATATGTCTATAAAAATGAAACAAATTGATGTTATTTTTGGAAGAGTTTTAGAAGTTACTGAAAATAAGTGATTTTCTTTACTCTGACTGAAGAGTCTTTTGGGAAATCTGCTTCTGAAAGAAATAACATATTTAGTTGATATTTTCACTTGAAATTGCATCACACCTGATGGTACTGCAGTAGTTGCACTTCTGGGAACTCTTCAGGAACTTTCTAGTGACGGTTTAGGAAATCCCACTTGAGACCTCTATATTCTTGAGGAGCCTAATGGGAGAGACTTTCCTCATCTTCATAAATGCACAGGTGGCAGTGCTCTTAAGGTTCTGTAGGACTCCTGTTGCATTATTTGATACAAATTTTATTGATAATAGGGATGGAATGCAATTCTTTACTTTAAAAGCATCTTTCTGTGTTTGCCTAGGCTAATGCAAATTTCATGATGCTTTGTTTAACCAGTTGTAGTGTTAGTTGGTTGGGGTTTTTTTTATTTTACGGAAACTCTACCAAAAATAAGAAAAAATATTCACCATATAGGGAAAAGAGCCCCACAAGTTCAAGCTTTTCACTGTAGTTTATATTTGAAAGGCACAGAATGTAGCACACTTGTGATTTAAATAACCAAAATTACATCCCTTCCCCAATACCAAACTCTGATTTAACTCCAAAAGGTGTCTCTGTTTACAGATTGTAGCAAATGAGTTTGTTTATTACAGAAGAAAAGCAGTCTATCTTGTGACACACTACTAGAACTCCAGTGGAATTGTTAAGACTGAGCCAGATTATGGAATTCAAATCTTGTACATCTGTAGTGTTTGTAACAACACTTTGAATAAGAATTTATGGTGTGCTTCTACTAAAGTTTCACAAGCAAATATTAAAGAAACAACATAAGTTAGTAATGGTGTGCTCTTGCATTGTTTGTTTGCTTTGGATTTTCCCAATGAAGATGTGTATTAGAAAGTGCCTTTCCTTTTCCCCTTTTGAAAGACTTTATTATGAGGTATCTCAATCTGCAGAAGTGCCAGGATTCCTGTAGATCTCCAGCTACCCATAAAGGCAAGGACATTTGCATAAGGAGCAAATGTCTGTTTTGTTCCTAGATTACTCTCCATCTATCAGGAGTAGTGATACCATATGGTCACAGAAAAAAAAAGCTGTAGAATCTCCAGCTCAGGTTGCCTTGACCTCGAGGTGCAGCCTCTGTTTTATAGCTTTGTAATTGGAAGCCTCCTGAACCTGAAAAAAAAGTGTTCTGTGCAATGCTCCTTTCTAGTTCTTCCTTCAGTCTTTCTCCAGAAGCACAGACCTTGTACAGATGTTTCTTGGATCTCTGATCAGTACATTTTTTTTTTCTCCTTGCCTTCTACTTCAGGAATAAACAGGACTCAGAGACATAAATATAACCAAATGAAACCCTCATCATACCAGTTGGTAATGTGTAAATTCTTCTAAGTCTGAACTAAAAGTATACAATGCAGCTGAGTTCTGTTGATTTCTCGGTGGCTGATATTTCTGTGTGAAACAGTAAAAAATTTTCATAGTTTTTGCTGCAGCTTTTTTCTTATTTTTCTTTCTTTTTTAAATGAACTCAAATTGGCTGCTTCTGGTTTTATCCTTCTGAAACAGTAAATATTACTTCCCTACCCTCCACATACAGTCTGTCTGATCATAAAATAATTTTTCATTAACTGCTGCATTATTAATTTGAAGGATTTTTTCATTGTTTCTGGGCTGGATCAAAGTAAAAGCAGGTGATTTATCAAAGTAGGAAAAAACCCCCTATATTTGGTCAATAATATTTAGACATTCTGACAAATGGGAATACATGTTACTGACAGGTGTGTTTCCTCTGCAGATAAATGCAATTTATACTTGTTTACCTTTGACAAGTTTTTAGGTTTTTATGCATATACATTGATTAGGGAAATACAATAGCAAGTTCATTGGTGATAATATGAGCCAAACTTTATCTGGAGGTTTCTAATGAAGATTTTTTTTTAAAAATTATTTTATAAATATATTTTATATAACATATATTTATAAAATATAATTTATTTTATAAATATCTTTTGTATTTTATTTTATAAGTTTCATGTACACAGTTTCCTTTTTACAGTGTGATCCGTGTCTGGCATGAATGTTTCATACGTGTTTTTTCCCTATTAATTTTTGTTATCTTCACAGTGAGTGTCCTATGTTACTTTGACTTTGTTCAGAGTACTTCAATTTAAAGTTTAACTGAGCTATATTTTTTTATGAAGCCTGTTATCATGTGAGTGAGCACACACAGATATAAGTGTTTAGAATTTAGTTATAGTGACTGCTATTATCTTTCTGTGTGTGTGTGACAGGGTAACAAAATGTATGTGCCGCCATCCTCCCATATTTAAGTTCATTCTTATTTTGTGCCCACTGTTGCTGCTGTTCCAGTGCATGCCAGCTAGATATGAAGAGCTTGCTCACTGATAGAGCATTCCTGAAACCTGATCTGTACATCACATGTGTGTTAAACTGCTGTGAGATAACCACTGCCATCTTCATGCACCTCTGGAGCCTTGGCTCTGGGCTGGTTTCTGTAAGGCCCCAAAGGGCAGCTTAGACAGGGTCTAGCGTGCTGTCACCTTGTGTCAGCCCTGGTGCACACCCCACTCTGTGATTTCCATTTATACATCTCATCTTTTTGTACAGGATTCACAGGCATAGCATGTGGGGACTTACTGTGTCAGTAGAATTCACTGTTTCATCTGAAATACTCTGCACATGCAAGAGGATCTTGCAATCCTCTACACAGTGGTTCTGAAAGGGTTGAGGCAGGCTCAAAAATGAGAGAAAATGGACAGTTGTCAATGCTCATCCATTTTTCTAAACAAGATAAGACTTACTAACAGCTGATTTGAAAAAGCTTTACTTAAAAACTTTGTAAATTAACAAAAGACAGTAAATGTAATTAGGAATAAATGATAAGGTAGCAAAATAAGCAGAAAGTGCATTTTATGTTTATCTACTGTTCTGTATTATCTATCACAAGGGGATTTGATATGAAAGCCTGAAACTTCATGCATGAAGTTTTAATTAAACCATTAATGTTAAACATTAACTTAGCTTAGTTAATATTAACAGTGGTGTCTCCATAGTTACATTAGTGACTCTGTCTAATATTGTTAGTTTTTCTCATGTATGATATTCTTAATGTTGTATAAAGTATTTATAAATGTAGGTGGTAATGACATGATTCCAGGCTCTTAACTTTTGTAACATAAACCCATTTTCCTAAGGCTGGGGCCTGAAAGCAGCACAGATGTATGTCTGAGCACAGCGTCTCTGCTGCCCTAGGAGCCTTTGTTTTCAGAACACCCTGATTGACCCACCACCCTTCATGGTTCACTGATTCACTTGATAGATCAAGTTTAAACTAGTGCATATTAGCACATTTGTTAGTACTAGGGGAACAGTTGGCCTTCCTGCTTTAGGCTGCTGGCTCGTTTCAAATGGAGCAGCCAGGGAAAACAATAGCAGAATACCAGTTAGGGGAGCCCCAAAAGGCTGGCAGACTGGGATCAGTTGCACACAGTAGTCAATGACATTGATTCATTCACATAGATGTTGTTTAAAGACAATTAAAAGATTATTATTCAAAAACACTTTAAAGAAGCTTCACAGTAATATTGTGTGAAAGTTTAGTCTTTGGCTGTTACAGGATATGCTTTCATTAAACTCAGTTGTTTGGTGTGTTCTAATGTGTCCAGTGCACACCAGGAATGATAAAGTAATAAATTTTGTCATGATCATCCTTCATGTCAGTTGGCAATTATTTGCCACAAATAAAATCACTTCAGTAATGTACCATTCCTGCTCAAATGCCTTGTTTGTGAAAAATATTTTCATCAACGTAATATTTTATCTCTCTAAAAAGTAAATTCATATTCAAATACTCACAAAGATAATATCTTAATACTTTGGTCCTGTGAATTAATTTGGTTCTTGAAAATCTTGCTAGGATTTATGTGTTAACTCTGATATGCTTTTCAGCAATAGTCCAATTAACGTAATTATAAATACAGTTCTGGTTTAGAATGGTTTAATGAATTAATTTTTCTTAAAAAATTAAATTCAACCATTTCCTCAAAAAAATCTAGGATTTTTTTCCCTCACCAGCTGAAAAGTCTATTTTCTTTTGCCTCCATAGGAGTTTTGAAACTTTATATTGCCATCTAGGGTTAAATTTTTACATCTCATATGCAGAAACATTGAAGTGAGATAGTGATGTTTGCTTTTCTCCCTTCAGTTTTCTCCTGATGTCTGTTTCGCAGAACTGTAACTTACACTGTCTGGGTAACAGAATTTTTGACACTTTATCTGTTTTCTCTACTTCTACAAACTGTACTTTCCTATTCTTTCCCCCTCCTTTGTCTGTTGTACTCTTATATTTGTATGTTTGGGGGTGTGTTTTTGGTTTATTTTTTGTAACTTTAAGGGTATACTTAGATATCTATGACTGAAGACCGTTTTTACAGATTTTTAGCTCTGGGTGTTGGTGGGAGGTTGAGTGTTAGGAGGACCAGCTGATCACAGCTTCTTGTAAATAAGGTAAGAAACATGACAGCACATTTATGAATATGGTTAAATCTTTTCTCTTTTGATGCAGAAGTCATTGTTCTTATAAGTTATCAATTTAATTTGGACTGATGCTTTAAGCAAATGATCAAGTCATAGAATTTTTTTTTGGTCTTAATATTTTTATAACTTCTAAAAGACTGCAACAATAACAGTTTGTATATTTCAATTAAGACACTGTTATAATGGCTTTATGATAATTATTTATATGTATTAATAGTCTTTGGGAGCTTTTATTTAGACTTTCATGTTTGTGTTGTAATTCCTGTGAAAAGACAATTCACTGCAGTACATATCTGCGGTGCTTCCTTCTGTTTCTAGAGACTCAAGAAGATTTTAGGTTGGAATGGACCTCTGGAGATGATCTGGTCTAGCTTCCTGCTCAGGGCAGGTGAGCTTCTAATAAAGATCAGGTTGCTAAGAGCCATGTCCAGATAAGTTTTGAAAATCTCTAAGGATGGGCAGTGCTTAAGGGTGGACATGGCTTAACTGCCCTCATTGTGAAGGACGGTTTTCTTTATTTCACACTGGAATATACCTTGTGCCACTTGTGTCCATTGCCTTTGTCCCTGCACCTGCGGGAAGCCTGGCTTGGTGGCCTGTGACTGCCACAGGAGATGCTCAAGGGAAGATTTCGGTGGATTTTGTCCTTGAGGCTGGCCAGGCCGCTGGCTCCTGCCTGCGGCTGCTCCGGCCCCTTGCCGCGGTGGCAGCTCTGCACAGCTCTGGGCCGGACCTGCTGCGCCTCAGCCTAAAGCGGGGGCAGTTCTGCAGTGCAGCCTCAGGAGGTGCTGAGAGCCAGGCTGGAGTGACACGCCTTGGGCTGTCCTCCTGTTCCTGCAGCCCGGCGAGCCCCTGCCCCTCCGGGCTGTCCTGGCACTGCTCCCTCATGCTGGCTCCGCTCCCTCGGGGCTGCCAGCGCTCTCTGAGGCGCTGCCCACTGGAACTGTCTGTGCTCCCTGCCGGGCTGCCCGTGCTCTCGGTGCTCCCTACCGGGGCTCTCAGCACTCTCCGTGCTCCCTGCCATAGCTGCCCGTGCTCTCGGTGCTCCCTGCCGGGGCCGCCCGTGCTCTCCGTGCTCCCTGCCATAGCTGTCAGTGCTCTCCGTGCTCCCTGCCGGGCTGCCATCTCTCTCTGAGGCGCTGCCGCTGGGCCCGGCCCCGTCCCACGCTCGGAGGTTTTGCTGGCTCAGGTGCTGCCCTTTGGGTTTGTCACACTGGACATCGTCAGGCTTTTCTCAGACCTTTCTTGTAGCTGATCAGGGTCCTCGTGAACAGCAACCATTCCCTCCAACACATCCACAGTCCTCACCTAGTTGCCTATTTTCTTTTTTCTCCTTTTTGAAAGAGGTGCTTTTGAACACAGGTGTTTGTTCCTGCAGGCATTCAGGATTCTCTAGGATTAATTTGCCTGCAATGACTTGGCACTTTGTGCAACATTTTGACGTAAACATGGTTATACATTTTTTTTGGTGTATGATTTTGAGGTTATAGCAGCAAACTGATTCAATAATTTCCTTCAGTATCTTTAAGAGCGCTTCTAAATTTTCTGACACAAACTGGATAAGGAGCTAGTTTGTTTTCAAGATTCTTTGATGTGATGAAGTAAATGGAAAAATTATCTCTGTGACTTCTATAATAATGTTTTGATCGTAAGGAATGCTTTCCTCTTTAATGTTGAAATAGTGTTCAGCTATAATTTCTTTGAGTAATTGTTCCTGTTCAGTAGTTGAGGTAGAGTAAGTGGAATGAGCTGCAAGAGGTCCCTGCTGACACTCTGAGGGTACATGTGGCTGCAAAAATTGAAGTAATATTCTTCATGGGGCAGGAATATGTGATTTCATTCTTGGCTCCCTTTGGAGTTGTGGGCTACTACTAATTTTGTTCTTGAATGTTGAAAGCAGTACACTTGCTAGACATTCTAGCTTTTATTTGGCTAAGAAAGTGATACTGAAACAAAATTCAGAATTGTTAAAATCAAGCATTTTAAATAAACACCAAAAGAAGAACAGTATTGCACACTAATGCTTGCTTCTTGTAGCAAAGCAGCCTCACTGAACCATGGCAATTGCAGGAATTCTAGGAAAGTGAATTTGAAAAGTAATGCTATTGGTTTAATATGAGTTATTTACTCTTCAACAGAATGCCATGTTTCAAATAAGAAAATTACTTCATGGGATCAATGTGCAAGACAAGGTCCAGCTTTGCATAGCAGTATTTCTCAGTGTTATTTCCTTGGAGTTTGTTACTCCAAAGGCCTAAATTAACAATAATTCTCATATTTCCAAATGGTACTGCCAATTTGCTATTACTTTATAATTTTGGACCTCCTTTACAAAAAGAAAATTTCCTTTGGACTCTTTGATTTGCACTCTCAGAAAAGAAAAGTGTTGGATTGTTGCATCAGTTTTGTTGGGTGTTACTTCCGTATGCCTGCTGGGAGTGAGTCATTACATTCCAACAAGGATATATTTTTGTGTTTGGGTTTTTATCTTTTTTGGTGCCCAAACTTCACATTCACCCTGCTCCTGAATTAGGGTTTAACTAGGCTGTGATGTATGCATTTTTTGTTTTGGTTCCTACAACTGTTTATTAGCTGTACGCACAAAAATAATCAATATTGTAATTTAAAGATAAGTAGTGCACATGCAAGAAATTGAGACTTTTTTTAGACTGTAATTTACTTATCCTGTCAAAGTATTGTAATGGTTCTGATTAAACAAAAAAACCAAACCAAAAACGTTTAAACTGTAAAAATAGTCGGTTTGTGTATAATCTTGAATGTTTTGTTTTCTTTTTAGGTTTTCAAAACAGACCTAAATCCTTGAAAGTGTTTGTTAATCCAAGCAGCCACAAAAGAGAAGCCACTAACATTTATTATGAAAAAGTTGCACCTCTTTTTAAACTTGCTGACATAAAAACTGATGTCACAGGTAAATTGCTTCAGAGGTATAATTTAATCCTTTGTGAAACTAATAGTTAAGCATGTGAGACAATTTGAATTTACTCCTTATCCCTATTGCCTTTAACTGCAAGTACTGAATTAGGAACTGTAGTTGATACAACACAATATATTTTTATTTGGTCAAAAAGTGCTTTAGTAATTCTCTTATTGATTCAGTATTTTTCACCTATAGCAATCAATACTAGTAATCTAGTCTTTTTTCCTATGTCTGTTGTAACTGACTTGAAAAATTATCAGTCTCAGCTTAAAAAAATTATAAGAGGTCTCATCTTGCAGTCGTTCCTTAAATTTCTTATGAAATGATGACTAGTTCAGGTTGCAGGCCAAAAATTATTTTGATAGAATCTGATTTAGCCATGAGAATATACTAGTGCAATAATGGTAGATGAAAATTATCTTGCTAATTTTATTCCCTGTATCCATGTATTTTTTTAACTACTTAGCCCACAATTTAAAGTAACATCAATGGAAGATTAAAGACACATTAGAAGAATTGTGAAAAAGATTGTGTGTATTAGAATTCTGTAGCAATAATTTCTTAAATACCCTGAACTGAGAGGGAATGCCAGCAGATTTATGTAAATTTTAATTCTCACAGACATATTTTTCCACCTGGAGGGCATGGATCATAATATGAACAGACTAATAATGCTGTCATAATAGAAATTGACTTAGTCTTGTTCAGTCACAATTAAAAAAAAGTTTTAATACAAGTTGTGAATACAATTTGTGGAGGTTTCAAAAACATTTTTACTAGTGGAACAAAACCAGTTTTAAGTTTATTTAAAAATTATTTTATTTGAAATTTTAATAGGAAACTTCTAGGTTGAGCCAGAAAAATGCTTAATGGCCTATCCTTCAGTTAAGGTTATTTTGGCAATGTTGAAATAGTCCTGTGCTTATTAGCTGCCTAACACTCCTCCTACAGGCAAAATGAGAAAACTGCATTGCAGTTTTCAATACTGGTAGAGAACTAAATAATTAAGAATTATGTTTTGTTTTGTTTTGTTTTGGTTTTTTTTTTTTTTAATAGAGGGTGATGATGGGTGCTGAGTAAAAGTTCTGTCCACTGGTACGCTATTCAAATAAAACCAAGTGCTTTATTTTGACTAAATTGAACTGGGTTTTTTCCTTCCATAATTGTTTTGGATTTTGTGAAGTTGGAGTTTGCAATTTGCTGTTCCTGCTGTTTTGGAACATGGCCAATATTTACAAAACTGGTCGTGTACAAAGGTGTATTAGGTACTGTAATTGTGAAGGCTTTTGTACAATTTTTGCACTGAAGATAGTTTGCATTTTGACTTTTCCACATACATATCTATAAAATTCATTGAATGCCAAGTTAAAGCTTGTTGAGCACAAACATTTTATAGCAAATTTGAAATTCTGAAGTGGCTCCTAGTGCATATAAAATAAAAAATTTGCAGGTTACTAAAAACACTTCAGAGCATTAAAGATTGACAGTGTAGTGCTGAAAGACAGAACTCTGCTCAGCCAGTCTTGTGCATTGGTAGCTGTTGCTTCCTCTCTGATCAGGCTTTCCAGATCTTATTCTTCATTATAGCTTCTCTTGGAATAAATTTCTTATGTGTTTAGAAATATTTTCTCCTACTCTTTATGGCAATCTAAATACATGTATGTAAATAAATGAGTGTATGTAGATAAGTGAGATGTAACATTTACTTTTTTCTAATAATTTCAAAATTTTGTAGAGTTTTCTGGTTTTTTTTTTCTCCCCAAATGGCTTTGTGTGCTACACTTTAATAATTTCAGTAAAAATAACCAAAGGTATTGTGGAATGCATTGTGTTTTGCTGGGGTTTTGGGTTATTTTTGTCACATGCAGTAAGCAAATCTTTTGCAGTAAGCAAAAAAGTGCTTAGAGCTCTAGAAAGTGTGAATTGGAAAATTTAAACTGAAGCAGTACTTTTAACTGTGGCTAAGGTGAAAAAACAGATAAAATCTGGCCTCTTTTAAGAACTGGGCAATTTTTTGTGCTGCAGCTGGGATGGGGCTCCTAGGACAAGAACGGTGACTCTTCCAAGAATTGAGTTCTTCAAAATCTCAGTCCACTGTTGAGATGCCTGCAAGTACTGGCAAACTGTGATAATTGGAGCTAGTATTTTAGAAATACATTAGTATTTTACAAAATCTTACACAAATTTAAATAATAATAAAAAAAACAATAAATAAAGGAAACCCTGACAGAATCCTGGCTTGTCTCACTTCTCTTCCTAGTTTTGACTTTTTTGCTTCCATTTATAAACACTTAAAACCTGGACTTTTAGGCAAAAATAACAACCTTCCCAAACTCTTATTTTTATGGCTGAACCACAAAGGAAAGGAATGTTTGAGAGTTGGACAAATTGCATTGGTTTTAACTTACCACATGGTAAATACCAACAGATAACTGGTGTTGATGCTGGATGAGAAAAAGCTGTTATCAGTAACAGTTAATCCCATTGATTTTAGTCTGTGACAGGAGTGCCAGTATGTTTAGGTATCACATGAAAGCATCCCCTGTTTCAAAGTGTTGAACTAATTTTATATTGCTTTTTCTATGTGTAGAAGCCAAGCCCTTGGTTCTTGTTTGCTATGTGAAGGGGATACTAAAGTATTTTTGGAGTATGTGTGACTGTTCAAATGAGGTGCACCTTTGGTGTCCTTCCTTCAGAATGCTGTTATCTAACACTTAAGAACAAAAAATTATTGAAAAAGAAAATATTTCTAAATTATGCATTAAAAATGGTCAAAAATAATTAAATAGTATTCTTATGATAATGATTTTGACCAATAATAGATCTGGATCCTTCTCAAACAATGAAAGACGCTTTCTTCCTATTATCAAAATGCATTGAGTAGCTTTTTTTGTTTGTTTGTTTTTCCCCTGAATTGGAACAATGCCAAATATTCAAACACTTAGCTTTTTTTTCCAGCTATCAGAATGATTTATACATGCCTTTCTGGAAGCTGCAGAAAAAAGAAGCCTGCAGAAAACTTTCTAGACATGGTCTTTTTATGTCTGTATTGGATTTTTCTAGGTTCTTTTACTACTTGAATTATTCTCTATATGTTCTCATAAAGTTTTTCCTGAAAACCTCACTTTTTTCACTGCCTTTTTGTCATGTTTTTTCAAAATAGATCCTCTGTCATTCTGTCATCAAATTTTAAATTTCTTTTAATTCCCCAATCTTTAGCCTTGTACAATTCTACATAATTTCCAACTTAAGCTATTAAATGCAAAGGGGATGGATTTGCTCTCAATCTGGCTAACATTAGTCATTTTTACTGCCTTTATTGATTTCTATGTAGACATGGCGCCTCTTTATTTTCATGTCCTTGTTCTTTGAGTGAATTAATTCTGTAACAGTAAGCATAACTTGCATTACATTAGGAAAGCACTGAGCATGTTTTCTGTTACAAAATAAATCTTATTTACTGTTCCATTTTAATTAGACTGTACTCATAACTTTCTAAATGTCATCGTGTTCATTTAAAAAGGCATGTAACCTGGTAACCAACTCTATTTTCATGGGAAGAGTTTCTTTCACAGCTAAGCAATGGTAAGATATTTGAACCTTTCTGCATTTTTGCATGATGCTCACTTTTATTGGTCACTTTTCACACGGCCTACAGATCTTGATAAAAGCATTGTTCCCACTGGCAATGCAAGGCTGAACATGGTAGCTTATATAATGTGCTTTGATATTCCAGAGAGGCCCTGCATGGAAGTAAATTCTGTAAATAATTCCCAAAAGTTATTACAGTGATAGGTGTTTCTGCAGCAAAATGATAAATCTCTGCCTTCCATATAATCAAAACAACTCTAGTTTTTTAATTAAGAATTTTCAAAACACCAACCATTAGAACTTTGCTGGTCCTGAATAGGGGATTTTGATGTTATAGGCAATATAAAAAAATTTTAGTGTGAAGTGTAAAAATGGTATCCCTTTTGTTTTGATTTTTTTTCCTATTATTTTTAGAAGAAAAGATATATAGACTCACTATGTCCACATACATACTTGTGTGTTTGTTTAAATAGAAAGAGATAGGGGTGTTTTCAGTTCTTGTAAGCAGCCTTTGAATTGTCTGTAAAAATACTATTGGAACAGGTACAGCTATGGAATGATTGTTTTAGACATAAAGATTAATAATTTTAGCAGTGTTTAGGAACATGGAGAAAAGCCTTGAACTATATGAACACCAGGGACAGACAAGCATGAAAGATTAATGTAATTTTGCATATAATGATGCACATTCTTACACAAAAAATCCATCTGCAAGTGTCATGTCAGTCAGCAAAAATCTTTGATGGGTGGCTGCAGCTGGGCTGTCTCTTCTGGCAAAGCTGCCCTAGAAAATGCTAAATGTAGTTATGATGCTTCGTGCCATCTGTAGTATGCCAGTTTATCCTGTCTTCACTGGCATTTACAGTACTATATAGGGTATCAGCAAACACAGAGACATCAATGTGGAGTGACAGATTCATTTCCTCCAGAGGCTATGAACTCTGGTGTATACTTGTGCCACCTTCCTCTGTGTGTTATATGCTGTTGTCACTGGTATTTGGCTTGATTTCATACTTCTGTGTTTAACTCCTCTTATTTTTGATTTAGCAATTTGCATATCCTAACACAAAGGCAATTAACTTTGATTGATCCTGAAGTAATTCAATCTTAACTGAGGATATGCTTATTTTCCTGAAGTTTACCAACTGTGTCAGTCCTAGAACTTGCATTTTGATGTGAGAAACATCTTCTTGAATTATCTGAATTTAGATGCATGAAATAGCCATGTATTAGATAGCAGATGAAATTAAATGTTTGGCCTTTCAGCTAGGATAACTGTAAAATATAACTTCTCATACTTTAATGCATTAATGGCTTAAAAAATAATCTGAATTGAATTACTCTGTTTTCCTTATGTTGGATGGACAGAGTAATTTAAAATTATCTAATCTGCTGCTAACTGGTGTTTTCCACAGTAACTGAATATGAAGGACATGCTCTCTCAGTGCTTAAAGAATGTGAACTGCAGGCATTTGATGGGTAAGTTGGCTAGTGGCCACATGTTTTTTTTTTATTTGTATTCCAATCAAAATTATGTTAGAGAGTATTTAAGGAGTATTTACTGTTTCTCATATATATGAAACATGAGAAATTCAGTTAACATTAAATACTTTGGTATTTATTAATTACTTACAATAGAAATGTATCTTGGATTCATAAATAATGGTAAATAAACATAACACTCTGAAATATACTTCATGAGGGTTTCAGTCTCTGTATTTGTAAGAATACAAAGATAAAGAAGAAAATGCCTGAATTATATCTTCTTTCACAAATATCTTCTACACTGGGTCATATTTGAATTGTTTCATCTTTAATCTTTGGGTAGGCACTTAGGGCTTCCACTGTAAGGCTTTCTCCAGTAGCCAGATCCAAGCTGGAAGAATAGAACCCTTTTGAAAAACCACAGTCAAGTGTCTTATATGCTCTACCTTTTTTGTTCTCCATTTTTTTTAGAGAGATGTAGAAAATGTAGAAATGGTGAGACAACATGGGGTTTTTTTTATTCATTGCAATATGTAAACAAGATAGCAATCTGCAATTTCTGGGCTTGATTTTCTCTCTAGGAGAGTTATGGTTCCTTCCATGTCAACATAATATGAAGTAAACTGAAGCTTATGATTTGCAGTAATAAACAGGAAGTTTATAGCTCAGTGCTTTCTGAAAGTGACACTCTTATGTGTTAATTCTTTGTCAAAGCTGTTTGTTTTTATAATTTCTCTTATTTCCCCAGTCACTATTCTATTTTGAAAGACCACAGGCAGATGTCTTATACACCCTACATTTTCTGCTATCCACTTTTTTTCAGTGACACTGAAAATTGAGGCACTTTGTCACTTTGGCTTTTTACCCCTGACTTGTGGCTGAGCTTTGGTGACAAAATAGAGAGACTGCATTTGTGATAACTGCTATCTCAGCTGGGTTTTCCTATCTGTACAGAGACAGAAATAGACAATGCCCATGCATATACTTGTTCCCTAGTCAGGAGCCTAAAGTATCAAGGATATTTAGAGTAGCCTGGGTTAGTCAGTCCTTAGTGAATAGTTGATTAAGAAAGTTGCATCTGATGGTTAAATAGATGTTTCTTTTTCTCAGAAAGATGTTTCTTTCTCTCTTTCTTCTTCAAAGTCTAAGTAAAATTTGTTTGCTCAAGACTTTCTACTCCTTATGCATAGCAGGCTCTCACTGATTAGCATTGGAATCCCAGGTGCCTGATGGTATCTCTATTTCCAGCCAAAAAGGCAATTCTTGATGATTAATAAAAATCAAAATTAGTAGCCTTTTCATGTTATTCCTTGGACTCTATCTACACAACACTTCAAAATCAGAGGAAAATATATCTGTTTTCATAAGTTTTAATAGCCAGAAGACAATCCATACAAGTCCTTCTGGGTATACAGTTTTTCAGACTTCAAAGATTAACTGTTTTTTCTACTGTGACAGAGAATTTTAAGCTTGGGAATAAACAAAAAGGGAGTCAAAAGAAAGGCAATGACTCCTGATTGCAGGCAGGAAGAAAATGTGCTTCAAACTTATATTCTAACTATATATTGTATTTTTTAAAATTTAATGTGACAATGTTTGGCTATATAGAGGAAACATTCCTAAAAAATTAATGATTAAAAATCAGCTTGGAAATAATAATAAAAACTGAAGACAAATATTAAAGGAGACAAGGTAATTGAATTTAAACATTTGATAACATTAATAACATAATGAGTGTTTTATTAAAAAGATCTGACCAGTTTTACCTGATTGAATGACTAGACATAGTTTCACAACTGCATTCATACAGATATGTGAAAAGAATATAATTTAGGTGAATTCCTCCCAAAGTAACTATGTTGCTTCTGTCATAAATGCTTGTAATGTATTATTACTATTCTTATCATTAAAATATGTTTACAAATTTGGAGAATCGCTGTAATGTGTACTTAAATAAACAAAAACAAGGAAAAAAAAAGGTTTGCTGTAACAGAGCTTTTACAGACAAATGCATTCCTCTCTATAGCCACAGCAGGTGGGAGTTTAATTATGTGCTCCAGAAGCAGTGATTAAGTACCTTTGTGCAAAGGATTGCTGGCACTAGGATTTTATACTTTGCTAAATCCCTCAACTGCCTGCATAGTGTGTGAAAATAGCTGTTTTCAAGTGGTTTTTTTTATTTTATTGCAATATTTGGTGAGTTGTTATTGTAAGGGCAATTAAAAGGCATTGAAATGTTTGTATGGGTCAGCATTGAAAGATGTAAAGAGCTTTTCCACTGAGGCATTCAAGCATGTGTTTGGTTCTTCCATCTGATCAGTTTATGTGCATGATGTGTGGTAAGGTAAGAAAAACTTCATAAGTTTTTAAGTGTATTTACTCCTACTCAGAAAGCAGAAATAAGAATGCTTAAGGAGCATTCAGGTAACGTTTACAGATCTGACAGTGAAGCCCAAGCTTGTTGTTAAAAAAAGAATGTTTTCTAGCTTTTTGAAATATCATTATGTATATGGTGTGGGGTAGCTGCCTTCCACTTGTTTGTTCAGCTATGAAAGAGTTTGAACTGTTTGGCATTTTTGTTTTGTAATAGGGTAGTTTGTGTTGGTGGAGATGGATCTGTCAGTGAAGTTGCTCATGGTCTACTGCTCAGAGCCCAGATAGATGCTGGGATAGACACAGAATATGTATCAAAGCCTGTCAGAGCACCGGTTCCTCTTGGAGTAATACCAGCAGGTGAGAATGAAAGGTACTGTGACATTTTGTTAGTCATCTCTTTTTAGTCCCTTTGACATGTTTTACAGTTTTGGCTACTAAAGGCAGTTCTTGATGCTAAAGCTTCAGTTATGTAAGGGGCTATTGAATAAATGTCCTAAATTAGTGAATTGTATTGATTACAAATGACTTGATTTTAAATTGTAATGATAATTTATAATAATGGCACAGATAAGCTGTTTGCCTGAAGGAAGAAGCTGAGAAAGAATAAAAATAAAATAATTTTCAGCTGATCCATACATGATCGAGTTTCACTCCTATTTCTTGACAGAAATTATACCAAATGAAAACTTTATTTTCTAGATTTTCCTTTTTTGCATCTTCAGTTTTCTTGGCAGAATTCTTAGTTGGATTCATGCTTACGGTCGATTTTAAAATGGCGTCCCAGAAATACATTGTATGGACTATATTTTTAAAAATTTGTGTACAAAAATCTACTTTATTCTTTAGTTTTACAGACATGAAACATCTGTCTCTCTTAAAAAGTCATCTTGCTGTTTTATTAACTTATATCTGGTGGTGTGGTTTTGTGTTGGGGGTTTGTATGTCCCTTCTTTTCAGTGTTTATATTTGCCCTCCTTGGAGTGTAGCTGTGCCCAGCAGGAAGGCTTTAGCAAGAGCTGTTGTGGTTTAAGCCCAGCCAGCCCAGCCCCACACAGCTGTTTGATCACTGCCCCACCTGTGGGATCAGAGAGAGAATCAGAAGGGTAAAAGCTGAAAAACTCTTGGGTTGAGATGAAGACAGTTTGATAGGAAAGGCAAAAGCTGCGTGCACCAGCAATGCAAAACAAGGAGTTCATTCCCTGCTTCCCATGGGCAGACAGGTGCTCAGCCATCTCCAGGAGAGCAGGGCCCCCATCATATGTAACAGTGGCTTGGGAAGACAAATGCCATCACTTCAAATGTCCCGCCCTTCCCCCATTCTATATACTGAGCATGGTGTCATATAGTCTGGAATATCCCTTTGGTCAGCTGGGCTCACCTGTCCTGGCTGTGTCTCCTCCTGAAAGCTTTTGATGCACCCCCAACTTCCTCACCAGCATGGCAGTACAAAAAGCAGAAAAGGCCTTGGCTTTCTGTAAGCTCTGCTCAGCAATAACAAAAACATCTCCATATTATCAACCTTTTGTTCAGCACAAATCCAAAACACAGCCCCATACTAGCCATTGTGAAGAAAATTAACTACCTGAGCCAAAACTGGCACAAATCAGTACAGTCAGTGTTGATTCTGGACTACTATATAAATCACTTCTCTTCCAAAGAAGAGAGGTATTTTTGCATGAACACTACTCTCTGGTATAGATATTTGCTAAGACTACTTGACATAGTTTCTCAGATGTTTTTAACTGGTTAAGGAAAACATTCCTACAGCCAGTAAAACAGCAAATCACTGTTTTGAGTTTACAAAAAGAAGGAGCATGTCACTTTGAGCTGACCAAACAGATTTTTACATGCTTTGATTTGGTTTGCATATATAAGAGAACCCTTAGTTGCTTGTAAAGGAGCAAGATTACATTAGCTTTCTCTCAGGATAAAAAACGCTTGGTAAAAGAGACAACAATCTCAAGGACATGAAGGTAATGAATTTGAGTACAGAAGCTGGGCCATCACTTACCAGCTCAGTTACTGTGAGTATTTCGATGGTGCTGATACAGAACCTCTGCAGCCCCTGACTCCATGTTGTGGGTAGGTCACTGTGCCTGTCATTGGGGCTTCCTCTCCTCAGCTTAAGACAAATATGTTGTGATCAGAAAGGACTTGTAAACCCAAAAGAATTCTGTAGGGTTTCTTACACAGAATGGCATAGGTTTTCTTAAAGAGGGTCAGAAGAGTTTATAAAATGATATTGTGAGAAACTCCCAATAGGTTCTTAAAAATAATCGGTTGTTTGTTTGATTTCCATATTCCTGATATTCCATGAGGTACTCAGTTGGGAAACAGGTAAGTATGATACTTGCTCTCATGAGGATGCTACTCTGGTTGCTGAACTTTTTTTTTCCCCACCAGAAATCCAATGTACAAAATTACTAGGATTTTCCAGCCAAGTAGAAACAGCAACTGAATTACAGGATAGAATTATGTGGGTGGCTTAAAATCTGGTTTTAGCCTCTGTAATAAGTACTTAAGTCAGCATTTTGAACTTTCAGTCATCTTGATGGGAAGAAGCAGCTTTTGGAACAATTTACCTCCTGAAGAGAGAGGTCCAGAGGGGAGTATGTTTTTACTGAAATATTCTACTGAGCTGCCTTATTGTGGTCCAAATCAAATGGATGAGATATGGGGAAGCCTGCAGTTGTACTGCTGGCCATTAGCAAGAGTGTTTGTTGCTATGGGAACTACTGCTAAGAAACTGTATGGAGCGGGAACTGGAGAAAGGGGAGGGGGAACTGTGGAAGGACATTAAAAAAGCTATCCAGTTGTTACAGAACAAGAGACAATCTATATCTGATGCCTGTAAACGTTTTGATGCAAAGTGGTTCATGTAAATAAATTCATGATTCCCAATTAATTCAGAAAATAAAATATTACTGAGGGACTGTTAATTTCTGTAATATTTCAGGCAAAGAACCAAAATGTTGGTGCAGTTTTCATCAGAATTTTAGCTATGCTTGACTAGGAAGTCATTACATCACATTTATCTGTTTGGATGGGGGAGACATTAACAGCCTTATGAATATTCATGTCATCTGGTTAATTAAGTTAATTGTACTGCAGAAGTGCTTGCACTTCCAAGGACAATTTTTTTTCTCTACAATTTCTGTTTGGTACCTTCATCAGTCATGCTTTACATGACCTGCAGATACTCTGTTCTTATTGAGACGCTTTTGCACTTTTGGTGGGAAGGAGGTGGTAGGAAGTTGTTTTTAATGTCAGGAAAATCAGTTGATATTTTGAGCAGAATTGCATTTTGGAGTAATAAAATCTTGTTTGTTTCTGTAGAAAAAATGCTGATGCTGGATATTAAATAGAGATGCTGGAATTGTACAGATAAAACCTTTTCATATTAAATAGAGTAGCTGAAGTGAGAAGTAAAAATGTGACTTACTAATGTGTGAGCAGTGCAAGTCATGGGCATCAAAGGTTTTTAATCTCTGAAGTAATATGATAGCATTCAGGGGAACAGGTGTTATTGGTAAATAATATCTTGAGCTTGCATAGGGGAAAAGAGATTACTTGGGAGTATGAATAATGGCATTAAAACCATTATTGAATCTCCATTTAAATCAGAAAGGCTTCTATCATTATTTTTGTATAACTTTTATAGTTTCTACTTTGTTTATAGGCGGCATATTTTGGGTTTTCTTCTTTTGGTTTGGATTATTTTCTCTGGCATCCTGCTTGTATAGGACTTAGTTAATAAGGCACATTATTCAGTCATTATTGGGATCAAAACTGCTGGTAGGCATGTACCAGGTAGAGTTTTTAGAGAATATGATGGTGCTTGCTCCCACAAAACTGTGCTTGACCCAGTTCTTCAACTTATGGAAGGGTGGATGTGGTGCTTTTGTTTTTGAACACAGAACTTGTTTTATCTTCCTTGGAGTCCTGAAAGGGTGGGATTTTGCCTTGTTTACTTCTGCAAATGTTAATGAGCTCCAAAGATTTAAGAGAAGGATGCAATTACTTGTGCCTATCCAGTTTAGCAGGAATGAGATTTAAGTCTCATTAAAGTCAGTTTGAAGATTGGTACCGACTTCAGCTGTGGTTGTTTGGTATCTTGCTGCCATCTGCATTGATAAATTACTCTTAAATCAGGATTGTAGCTTAAACTCATACCAAGCTTGATCTTCCAAACTATATTCCACCTTGTGCTCATTAATTAGCTTGATCTTCAAGTCAGAAGTGAAACATTTTTTTTAGAATAACAACTGACACATAGGAAGTAAGCATGGTTTGCCCGACTTAAAACAATCTGCAGCTTGTATGTGTGGTTTCCTTTGTTTTGGAGACATAACAGTTGATAAGGGCTGTATAATACTGATTGAAAGAAATATTTGAGTATTTTTCAGTTGCTGCCTTCACTGGCAAAGCAGAACGAGTTGGTTCTGGAAGTTAAATCCCTGGAGTCATTCAAACATGAAATAGTGTTGAGCATATACTTGTAGTAATTCTGGGAAGAAGTGCTTTTTAGGTCAAATGTAGGGGTTTTTGTAGGTTTTGTAGGTTTTGGGTATCTGTTACCTTAAAAGATGTACCTCACTTCCTTTATATAGCAGGAACTCAGAGCTCCTCTCTCTGATGTTATGGCAGCTTTCCATGAAGTTCTAAATTACATTGAGGGGCTAAGGTGCTCTAAGGACTTAACAGGTGATATGTGAGATTCCCAGTTATGCTAATTTTTTTTTTTAATTTAGAGAAATTATTGGAAAAAAATCAAAGATATATTCCTGAATAAGAATGTCATGATGCCTTTAGAGCTTTGTAATTATGTACATCAGTAATTGCAAATTCAGTATTTTTTTCTACACTCTGCATGACATAAAACCAGAATCTGGGGATAAACAAAACTTTTCAATCTGGTAGATTGTGCTTTAAAAGTGCTTTTTAAATACTGAGTGCCTGTTGCTTGACATGTGGTAGTCTTTTGCTTTCTTCCCTTCTTTCCCCTACTTTAGAAAGACAAGTAATTATTCCATAAATCTTAGGGCAAATTTAATATCCAGAATTGTCTATTGCTGCTGTAGAATATTAAATAATTGAAACTATTTGAAAATCTATGTGAGCTCATTTTTATATGGGAATGTTAGGTACTTAACTGTTCTTATGTAATTTTTTTTCTTTTAATTATACTTTTATAGAATTATTCATCCCTTAAGCAGTGATATGAAGAAGTCAATATTCTGCCTCTTTGGTGGCAGGCCTTTATTTTTCCAGAGATAAATTCTTTTGCTGATTGGCTAAGTAATGCCAGAAATGAGAAAAATAAATCTGAAATTTTTTTTTAAACTACACCTATTTAGTGAAGACACCTTCTTCATGATTTTAAAAATAAATTTGTATTCATTACAAATACTGATGCACAGTATTTTATATCCTAGGCATTAAAGCAGAAGGGCAAAATTTACATATATATCTCCATGTTTCTTATCCAGGTAAAGTGCCTTGACATATCAATCACTATCAGTTGTGTGCCCTCAGAACTCTGCTTCTTTCTTTTGCAGACTGACAGCTGATTTTCCATTCTCTCTTTCAGCTCTGTGCTGACATTGCTGGGTTTTGACTTCTTTTTCTACTTGCCACCTGATTTACTCACTCCCTTGTTTCAAAATCTCTTCTCTTTCTCTTCTCTTCTCTTTCTCTTCTCTTTCTCTTCTCTCTTTCTTTCTTTTTCTTTCTCCTCTTCCTCCTTCTCCTCCTCCTCCTCTCCCTCTCCTCTCTTTCTCTTCCTCTTCTCTCTGGTGCTGGTAGAAAGATTGGCTGCTAGTGTCCAGGCAGTGCAGATAAAAGTGAGATGGATCAATTTTGGTGCACTGAACGCAAACCACCTCTTTGTCAGATGTCACATTCCACCTTCCCCGGTTTTCAGTCATTGAGTTGTTTCTTGTGAAGCTGATGTGCAGTAGTTAATTTTATTCACTATTCCAAGAATCTAAAATGTAGCCTGCAAGAAGCACAGCAGCTATCTTTGACTAGATTAAATATCGTTTAGATTGAAAAATGTACAGTTAAGGAGATGGTTTAAAAAAATCCAAGCAGGCGATATGTTGAAAAGCTTGTTTCTCCCACTGCTTTGTTTTTATGGCACTTATGAATGAATTTGCAGAGAAGATTTTATAAGCATCTGGAAGTTTTAAAGGTTTTAATTTCATACTATTCAGCATTTCTGCTGTTAACAAGACAATTAATGGGCGGGCTTTATTTCTTTGAAAATGCAGTAATTAAAATGCTGTGCATATTTGTTCTGGTTATTCTGTATCTCTCATGGTTTTTTACAGCAGGGTTTTTTTTTCACTTTTACAGGTACTACAAATATCTTGGCCCATACACTCTATGGTATTAAACATGCAGTGACAGCGACATTGCACATTGTAATGGGTAAATATTTTTACATTCATTACCAGATTATAAATAATAAAGCAGTGTGTAGAAGTTTGTCGTAACCAGTGGCTTAGTAAAGGCACAGCATTTTGCTGTGTCACTGTAATCGATACTGTGAGGCTTTTAAACCCAAATGATTCTATCCTGGTTTTAGCTCCAGGTGCATTTCTTTTAATTACTAACAGTTTCTATAAGAAAGCTTTATTCACAGAAGAAAGTGTATCATTTGCCACTGGATCCAGACAATAAATGGGTTTTGAGTGTGACAATGTAATTATGCTTAAATGGAAAATTAAATGGCATTAAAACCATTTTTAAAACCAATTTTGGTTTTTGCTAGTGCGAACCTTATTTTTGGGTCTTAGAAAAGCAAATACTTTGACAGAAAATGTTAATTTTACTCTCAAAACAGTCTTTCTTTAGAACTTTTTTTAAATTAAAAAAAAGAGAAAAAATATTAAGGTCCCTCCTGGGTAAGCTCTTCTCTTGGCCTTGCAGTCTGCAGTGGAAGAGCCTTTGCTCTATTTCTCAAGTCATAATACAAAACCCTTTACAGGCAAAATCTAAACATGACTTCCTTTAAAAATCAGAGACACTGAATGCAGGGGAAGATGCCCAGGGTCCATTTTAAAAAGTCTATATATCCTATCTTGAACATAATTATATGTCTATAACTGTAATCATGAATACACTTAAATATATAAGCATGAATACATTTAAAACCTATGTTTAAGAGTTCCCATATATCCTCCAGTACAATGTGGTGTCATTACATGTTTTTGGTGAAACAGTTGCAGAGATTTATGCAAATGTGAGCATATTACATTTTCCTTGATTCTTGTTGTTGAAAATGTGCACAGAATTAAGAGTCAGACCCTTAGCAGGATTATGAAGTAGCCAAATGTTCTACCATAGCTTTAACATTTTCAAGTGTCTGAAATTACTACTTTGATAGAGTCTTAATTTTATCTAGATTGATTCTAGATTTGATTAGTAAAATTCATTTCCTAGAGAGAGAGGAGTCTGGAGGGGTTCTTCCCCCATCTAAAGTAGATGAAAAACAAATGGTAAGTTGTGTGTCATTTGAAATACCGATTTTTTTTTTTCTCTTCTCTATCTGTGAAATTTTAGGACACATTCAAGCAGTAGATGTGTGCACTTTCAGCACTCCAAGCAAGCTGCTGCGCTTTGGGTTCTCGGCCATGTTTGGGTTTGGGGCAAGGACGCTGGCTTTGGCAGAGAAGCACCGCTGGATGCCCTCCAGCCAGAGGAAGGATTTTGCTTTCATCAAAACCCTGGCAGATCTTAAGTATGCCAAGAGATGTTATGTTTTTCTAGTATTTCTCATTTCCTGGGGAAAATGAAATAATAAATCTCATAAAGACAGAGAGAGCAGAAGTTTATCTTAATTGCAGATTTAACTCAGATGTGATGCATATCCCTTTTACAAGTTAAAGAGGAGATAAATTCTGTACATTCAGAATCGCCTGAAAATCATCTTAACTTTGAAAAGTGTGTCTAACAGTCAGAATACTGGATTGCATCACAGTAAATGTCAATACTTTTCTAGGCCAGAGGAATGTGAATTATCGTTTCTCCCTCTACAAATTCTGGAGGAAGACACTCATGAGAAGGACAGGTAAGTAAAACTGACTCAAGCAATTCCAAAGCTACAGAAATGTGTCTTTGAAGAATAAAATTGTGCAGATTCTTTACTTTGTTCAAATTTAATCAACAAGTGATATAATCTTAGGAGTTATTTATTTTGACAGCTGCAAACTTGTACATATTGTAAAGCGTTTCTAGAGGATACTATAGAGGATCTTGTTAAAAGGCAGTCTTCCACTCAGTATTATTGATTTTCTCAGTTCCACTAATATGTTAGTTTTTTTATAAAGTATGCGTTGCTTAACTGTGCAACTGACTTTATTTTTTTTTTACCTACATGTTTCCACCCTTTTAGGAAGAAGAAAGAGAGAATGGAAAGAGGTGAGTTTCTGCTTTTAGGATTTTTTAAAAGTGAACCATGGCTGATTAACTGGAGTAACATAGAATTACTCTGTTATATTTAGGTAGCAAGGATCAATGGCAGAAAATTCAGGGTCACTTCCTGAATGTGAGCATTATGGCAATCCCTTGTCTGTGTTCAATGGCACCAAGAGGCTTGGCACCTAATACGAGGTCAGTATGGGTTTAGAGAATTAGTCATGTCTATAAATTCTGACATCTTACCTTAAGACCTTGGCTTTTCCGAGAATATGAGCCTATGTTTAGGTAGTCTAGTCCCTCTGGACTGGGGGAGGGAGCGTAGACTGCAGCAGACTCGATAATCCCAGGAATTGTAATCAGTTTTTGGATCAGGCAAATAAGGTCAAGCAGTCTAACTAGAATTATGAGTGGATAATTGCTGTGATTAAATTAGTTGGCAAGTCTGACTTAAGTAGTAGTCATGGAGCAGTCATCTGTCATAGGATTTGGCTTTATGGGGAAATTTCACCCTTAGATTTAATTTTATTTTTTCAAGTATAAAAGTGGCCCTCGTCTTCTGCTCTACAGCTAGCAAAAAATAAATATGAGTCTTTCTCATGTTATTAAAGACTAAAGTTCACACTTGTCTTTTTCTTATTATTTTTTGTTTGGTTTCCCTCAGAATTTGATAAATTAAGCTTCTACATGCAGGGTTTGGGGAAATAAAGCAGTATGTAACCTCGTTGTTGACGTTGAGTCATTTTGCCTTTAGCTCCTTGTTGAGAGACTGCTTTGTGGTGACCAAAGCAGTTCTTAGGTGGCAAATATTTGTACTTGTTGTATCCAGATGGCAATTGAGCAGAATGGCAAGTACAAACTTTGTAGTTGTATGCAAAGTATACAAAATGCTTCCTCAAAAAAAGAATGCAGAGACCTGTGTGTGTGCATGAATGTATACCAAAACCACCCCAACACTCAGGGAAGTTTAGGGAATGAGTCTCTTTTCTTTCATTAGATTGTCACTAGGTGAAATTGGAGAAGAATTGATGAGGTCTTTTTCTTCAAAATTGCTGGTTCATTTAGTAGAATTTTACTTCTTGGAAACAATATAGAACCAAATTATTTATGATTAAACTCTTAATGAAAAGTTTTCTTCGCTCCCAGGGTCCTGCTAATCTCACAGTCCTCAAGATAATGCTTGAATGCTGTCCCATTTTAGGGACTTTGTTCTGCATTTAGTGTTTTCCAGTCAGTTGGAAAATTCTGATGAGAATTTTAGCTTTGCTTTCTCTTTCTATCTTTTCTTCTCCATTTCTCAGTGACAGAGAATTTTGTAACAACTCCATGCACTTATTGCAGGTTTGAATGAGCCAGTTTCTCTCCCAGTGCAGCTGCTCAGTGGATCTCCCTATTTTTATTTTATTTTTGTGTGTGTGTGTGTAAGAATACCTATTGTTCTTTCATCTCTTTTTAAAATGATCTTAAAGTGTGGTCAGCTAGTAGAGTAGGAAGGGTAGACTCAAACAGGAGCTTCCTTTGTCATAGTGATTAACATATTGACTGTAAATCTTCTCAATGTGGGAAACAAAAACATGGCACTGATTGTTTGGGACGTGAGACCCACTATGGAAGGAACTGGTGTAGGTTTTTTCTCTCTCTTCTTTTTTCCCCAAGAGGTTTCTGCCTTGTGAAGACATTTGAAGTGGGGTGCAAGCTTTAGCTGCTGCCTGTAGCACCAGTTACACTGGTCTAAATTTGCAGAAATGTGTCCAGATAGATTTAACTGTCTGTGCTATGGGAGCCCTGTGGGACGTGTTTTTCACAGCATAGGTGTTGTGCTTCACTGCAGATGGGGCTTTTTAGGGAATTAATGAGCATTCTTAGTCATTTCTAAAGATGAAAGGCCCTAGTGCTGAATGCCCAGTAGTCTGCTGTGCCCTTTTATTGAAACAAATATGATAAGGAGGCAACTTTTTAAATGTTGTCATCTCTCCTGAATCAGCAAAGTACTGCTGTGCCAGGTGACTTGCTTAATGTTTATGTAACAATTACCCTCCCAGATAGTGCTGCTACCATAGTCTGAGAACATTCCTGATGCAGCTGTTCAGTAGCTATCTGAACTATCCCTTTCAGTGCTGGTAGCCTGGAAGTAATTTTCTTTAAAACTCCTTATATATTTTCCAAACATAGATGCTGACTAAATAAATGAATAAATGAATGCACGTATGTGCAGAAGATAGGAAGTACACCATCTCTCTCCAGAAGGCACTCTCAGCAGGGGTTGCCATGTTCATCAGATACTCTTGTTGAACACTGATCTGGCTCTGTAACTCAAATGGGACTTATGCATGGTTGCATGGATATTCCAGTTAGTTTCTGTGTCCAGGTACATTCCATTAAGGAATGGGGGAACTGACACTGGCTCACAGTCTTACCCCCGTTCTCAGTGATGCTCAAATACCCATGGAGGCTGGATACTGAGAGCCACTGAGCATCTGCACTGTGGGGGCTCTTCTTGTTTAATCTCTAGTACATGCCTGTTTCATCTCATACAAAATTCTTAGTCCTTGAATTTATTTTTTTTTTTGGTGAAATGTATAGATAGAACTGTACTAAGAACTGCTGTGAGAGTGTGAGTTGGAGATGGCAGCCTTTGTTAGGGTAGCATGGGTTTGGTGGAGAGGGGGGGAACCCATCTGCACTGGGTCTGTGCTAGGGGGGCTTCCATGCACTATGGCACTGTTTTCTGGGTACAGCTCTGCCTCACAGCACTTATGGTAACTGTTATTTGTTGCTGGAGAGAAAAGTAAAACGAAAAGTTTGTGATCCCCAATGTTTAAAACCCATCTGTTAAGTATAAAAGCAAGCTCTTCTTAGATTATATGTATTGTATTCAAGAAATGGCTATTGCTAAAAGTTATTATTACAATATAAGAATGCTGAATAACTTCAGTGCTTAATTTATATTGATCTGTGGGGTGGGGGTCAGCAAAAAGATTTGAAAAACTATTGAGACTATCCCATTAATTTACTCTGTAGGCTTTTAAAAATTTTTCTTTCTAATCTAGGCTATTGAAGAGCCTTCTGTACTTCCAAATTAATGAATTATCTTTTTGCAGATTAATGAATTATCTTTTTGGTCTGCTTTTCAGGTTGAACAATGGAAGCATGGCTCTTATTGTTGTACAAAATACTTCTCGAACAGAGTTTATAAAGCATCTGAAGAGATACAGCAGTGCAAAAAATCAGGTACCATTAATTTCTTTCTGGTGATTATAAAAAGAACAGTTAATCGTGAAAGTAGACAAGCTGCAAGAGTTAATGTTAGCATCCTCGTAAGGAGACTTAGCTTCCTGTCAGAATACATTAGCCCCTTTTTATCTGATTTTTTTTTCTTTTTTTAAATCACTAGACTAATACAGATTAGCCTATTTCAGTCCATCTGTTGTGGTTTAAATTGTGTTTGTGTTGTACCATAGTTTTATGGGTGTAAAGCCCTTCCACCACAATAAGGAAATGCATGCCATGTCTGAATTTTGTATAGTACAGAGATGGAGAATGCAGAACTGCGGGGGCATCCCACAACTCTGTCAGAAATTGGTAAAGTTGGCAATTTCAGCAGGTCATGGCATGCTGTGCTGGTAGCAGTGGGTTGTGAGCATTGATTTTTAGCAGGTATGCATCCCATCAAGTTACGATGCTTGCAGAACTGTATTTCAAGATTGTAGTCACAATTCTGTCATGAAAGAGAAAAAATGAAGCATTCAAACACAGATCTTATTGCTGTCTAAAGCATTCAAACACAGATCTTATTGCTGTCTAAAGCCACCACTGCATGGCCCAAACACACTGGTACTCATTCAGATCTTCTGGGATTATGTGAAATCACTGTAGCAGGAAGGTTTGGGTTTGAATTCATCTATAGCCAGGGAGTTTGGGGGAGAGATGGGTGAAAATTCTAGGTGACAGCACTAATGGCTGAATTGAGGAAATAGCTTAAGCTTTCCAGTTATGCTTTTGGAGGAAGGCCTTGCTTTTCTCTCTGTCTTTCTAGTTACAAATCAGACAAGGAGATGTGGGCCCTTCTTTAAGCTTAATTCTAACTAGCCTGGTTTAGGGTGAGATTACTGGTAATGATGAACAGAGCACATCTGCTTGGACTTTCACATATTCTGAAAGTATTTGGTATGTGCAAAATATACCCCTTACCTGCAGGTTGATGGGGTCCAATATGGGAATACAAATGGAACACTACCGTTTTTTTCTGAGGCACTATTTAGGATAAAAATACCAGGTTAATCTATAAACACTAGCTGGAATACATAATGGCTCATGTGGTCAAAGCTTGAGTTAAATGTTCCCACTCAGGACAAAAAAAGTGCCAGCTTTTTGATTTCAAGTAACCCATTTTGTTTTAAGCTACCACCTGTATCTTTCATCTTCATTTGCTGTCTGTCTGTGTTTGGTTTAGTTCAATTTTCCCTTTGTTGAGACCTACATAGTTCGAGAAGTAAAAGTACAACCAAGGTTTAAAAGTGGACCTGATGCCAAGGAAAATATGTGTCTGAATGCAGAAGGAAACTACCCTTGGAATATAGATGGAGACCTAATGAAGGAAGCATTGGAAGTTCATGTTCGGTAAGGTTCAAATCCCATTTGGGACCATATACCCATAACAGCTTAGTGCTGCAGTCTCAGATGTGTTACAGCTCCACAGAACACAGCTGGTACCAGAGTTAGGTGTTCTGAATGCTCCTACATAGAACTGCTTGCACTGCAGGGTCTGGCTCTTCCACCATCGTTTGGGCCTCTGCCTTAGATGCCTTGTGTTCATCTTTGGAAAGGTTTGTTATAACTCACATGGCCTTTCCATCCTGGTGCTTCATCAGCTTCCACTCTAGTTGTCTTGTTTTTTGTTACCTGATTACTTCTTGTTGCTTCTTTCCTGCTACTTTACCCTTCCATTTGTTAGAGAACAGATGTATGTAATGTGTCTCCATGAGGAGCTCCTTTTGGGACAAGGATTCCTACTTGGAAAGCAGCATGTTAAGGTTAAGAAAAACATGTAGTTCAATTGTGAAAAACTTAATGCTGCTAGAGAATAGTCTCCATATCCAGCATCTAAGAATGAGACTACAAATACATAGGAAATGGGAGGATTATCAGTGGAATTAAGTGGGCAGGGGCTCATTTTTCTGCAATGTACACAGGATTAGTTGAAGGCACACAGCTCAGGATAAGTCTGGAATGCAAAATAAAAGGCAGATCATGTTGTAGGATATATAATATATTCTCCTAAAGATGATCCTATTGGAATTGTCAAAATGTAATTCACCTTGATTTATTTCCATATAAAAGCTTGTACATATTAATTCTCCTCATCAACCTCAAAAAGTAGCCCACCCATTGCAAGAGTTGATGTGATAAAGTTTGACTTCCTTGCTTCACAGAGTGCATCCTCAACTTATTGATCTTTATGGAGTGAACACTGATGACCTGGAGACTTCCCAAGTGACATGCAACTGCATATAGAAGGGACACATTGGAAATTCGGTAATATAGAATCCTGTTCTCACCCCTATGCACAACTTTCCAAGGTCTGGACTTGTACTGATGTCAGTTGTAGTAGAAGCTTAATTGGTAAGGGTTAGGGTTTGTTCCAATTCTAGGTTAAAATTGATATTAAATTATATATTTTATCAGGGCAGAACCATACCTCTCTCATACCAGAACTCACCAGCTCTAGCTGAAGAATATAAAAAAATGGCAAAATAAAAATGTATGCATTTATTTTTTTAATAAAGTACTTATATTTCTAGTTATGATTTTTAATGTTGCCTTAATATATTTGTTCTCAAAATGTTTCTAGTCAATTAATAGAAAAGAATATGTTGATGTGCTGTTTGGCTTTCCTTTGTTAAAATGTATTTTAAAAACTGCTCTTTGTATAAAATTAATATTTTCTCTGTCTTAGAAATGAAACGCTATTCAGCATAGTTTTTGTTGTTGCTGAGAATAAAGTTGTGATAAATGACTTAAGAGTTGACTTAAATTTTTATAATTTCCTTGTAAAACACAATGTTTGAGTGTTTGGTTTCTTTTGGTAATTTACTTAATATTGAAGACAATTATTTCAGAGGACAGCAAATTAAGACTGTTTTTTCTGGGAACAGGCTTCCTTTGAGGTGAAAAGTAGCAACCATGTTTTTCCGTTTGCAGGACCATGGATAACGAATGTTTTCCTGGTCACTCCTCTGGGAGTCATTCAGGAGGCAGTGCACAAATGAAAGCTGCAGTGTCAGGGCACAAGTCAGTTGTTTTAGGTGCTTTCTTCAGGAAGCAGTTGAGTGTAATGTGAAATCCAGTCTTCGTATGATGTTGCTAAATCAAGGGCTTAAGCCTTTGCAAGAGATCTATAGCTACTATGATTTTAAATATTTGTAAAAATTCTTATCTCTGATAAATACACTGGACTGAGTACTGCAGATGAGGATTTGGCTCCTAAACCCAAGAAGTTGCCTTTTGTCCAAGTTAGAGGGGAGCACTTTCCACTTAAAATTCATACTCTATCCCATCAAGTATTTTTAACATGCTAAGGCAATTCAAACTAAGCTTCTTTAAGTTGTTTAAAAAGGCATTCCAGCAACATGTAGTAGATTTAACTTATTTATTAAATGAAATTTAACAAAAGAATTGAATTTGCAGAATGAACAACATTCATCTGTTTAACTTGCTTGGGCTTTTTTAAATAAAATGCAATTGAATAATACTTTATAATCTTGCCACCATCAGGACATAGTACATTCATTTTTTGTCAACCTGGTTTATAAAAGCTTCATAATTTTGCTTCATATCCTAAGAAAAGGAAGCCAACATATACATGTTAACAATCAAACCTGAATAAAAAGTGTACAATTTCCAAGGCATCATTATCACATGTACTGACTTATGTAAACGATTTCAAAGATAAATAAAATGCTTTGGTTTCACTTCCTTGCATTGTTTGTACTCAAAAGAAAATGAATGCTTCTTCCAGTATTTGAGGTATATTTTTCACAGTATGCTGTAATGTCAAACTAATTTCTGTTCAAAGGTTTTTTGGTTAAAGTGCAAAAATTCACAAAAGCCATTTGGAAGGTAAGCATTTTTGGTAGTTTTCACACAGATTTGCAAGAAAGTATTTCATTCCTGACATACTTTATTTTGACTTTTTAAAAAAATATATGCACATTCATTTGTCCTTGCACTGTAGGTATTAGAGGAAAACATACTTTGGATCCACATCTTTGGCACCAAATGAAGTGAAAGGAAGTTAGAAAATGGTCCCAAATACCTTTGGAATCTGTGGGCAACTTAAGTTTTATGGCACCAAGCACTCTAGTAGCAGAAGTGCTTGCTGAAGGCACTTGCTGTGGGTTTGAGTTTCAGGCCAGTTCCCATAGGATGGTGCAGCTCTGAAGCATTTGTACAGGTGACATTCCATTCTTGGTGCAGTTCAGAAGGACATCCAAGGCCCAGCCTCACGTCTTACTCTGTCCTTCTGGTGCAATAAATTCGGTTACTGAAGAAGTTGAATGTTCTCCAGCTGTTCTGGGGAGCAGAGGAAGGTTTTTTTTCCCTTGTGGCTTGTGCTGTTTCACCAAAGCTAGGTGGCAGTGCAAACTTAGCTAGCTGAGGAAACTTCCTGGAGTAGCAGAGCAGTGGTTTGATCCATGTTTCTGTTCAGTCCTTTGCCTTTCTGCCAAGTGGCTGCTGAGGGTGCCTGTTTGGATGGTATTTTTCTGACACCTTCCAAGAACCCAAGCTGGCACTCCAAGTGACTTCCTTATTAAGTACTTTCTAAAGTACTTAATCTAAAGATAAGATTTGGCCCATTACAGTTGGCAGTTGGAGTCTTTTGGGTAGATGTGTCTGTTTTGTCAGCTGAAGCCTGGTTTTTTTTTGAGGTTCTGGAAGAATGCCAGCACTAAATCCTATAATAAGTACTATAGAAAAATCTTCAAATAAATAAAAATAAATACTTGCTTTAAAAAATCCCACCTAGAAACAATTCATTGGAGAAGTCCAAAACCTTATGGCAGCACTGTCTGAGGAAAGGATGAAACAAGTAATTCTATCATGCTTGCAAGCACCATGTTATAGATTAATACAAATAATAATCTCCAATACTTTAATCATTCTACAGCTGCATCTCCAGGCTACCCCACACAATTCCCTGCTCTGAATTCACCTTTGGCCTTCCAAGTTCTGACTTGCCTGGATGTCTAAGTACCTTCAGTGATGTGGCTGTGCCTGTGAAGCCAAAGGTTACCTGCATAAGCCCAGAGCTTCTGAGAGTTGTTTTCTATGTCTGTGTGTTCTCCTTACACTCCTGTGAGTTTGAGATAATTTACCCTTGGTAAAATGCCAGACAAAGATGAGAAAGGATTTCTTCTTGAATGCCTGATCATTATTGAAACTTTAAAAATAATATAATAACTTATGCTAATGTGCTTGAGATCTTATTTTCCAGGATTGGCCAAAAATTATTACTTTCTACAAATACTTCCTTTTGGTAAGTAATTCTTCTTCTCTTTATCTTTAGTGTCCTTCTGTCTGTTTGAAACCATATATATATATATCCAATGTGGCATTTCAAATATTACTGGGAGACTTCAGAACAAGCTGGTGTACCATTTTCATATTAGAACAGTACTGTAAAGTGTATCCTCCATACAGTTCAAGGAAATAAAGCATGTTTTGTAAGAGAAAGTAATCTCAATGCTTAGGGTTGTTGTTGCTGATGTTTCTCCTGTGAATTAATCTGAATTTTAATTTCTTCATTTTAAAATCAAATGTTTATTTGCCATCTTAGTCATTTTTGTTCCCACTTTTAAAACTCCAGCTGTCTCTTCGGTTCGTGTCTTGAGGGACTGGTTTGTATTTCCTTTTGAAGAAGCCAATCTGAAATACATAATTTGGAATCTGTTGTCAGCAAATCTTTGTCATCAAATCTAAACCGTAGAAGATTAATTAAAATAAAAATGCCTATGCATGGCATTTATGAAGTCTGGTATTTGCCAGTGCTTTGTCATACCAAGTAATCAAAAAATCACATCAATCAAAAAAGTAGGTTTGCTTTTTCTTCTTTTAATTTTTGGGAGGCTAATGCTCTCCTGTATGGAGTAAAGACTGGGGGCTTGTGAACTTTAACAGTCCACAGAATCCACTGTTTTTAAAAATTTGGTAATAAAATATTCCAGTTAAACTTGTTTAATTTCTACATGTCCATGCAAAAATGATGGATGGAGAAAATCTTGTTGTAGGTAAAGAAGTTAACAATCTCTTAATCACTTGTCAGAGGATCTGCCTCCTTCTTAGTTTTCTCTTTTACTTAGGCCCAGAATATTTTTAGTATTTATGTTGTAATTTGAAATCTTAAGTATTTTATACTAGTATGAAACCATGTTTTAAACTATCAGTCATCATGTGACAAGTGACATTAAATGTGGAGCACCATTGCACAGAAGTGATCCATTTGATATCATTAAAATACATAAATCAATTGCAAACATGAGATGCCATATAAAACATTGTAAAGGGATTTGTGATGTTGAGCACCAGAAAATGTAGAACATGCAGAAGATTAAATGAAATGAAAAAAATGGAGAAATACTTTTGAAGAACCCCAAGTTACAGGAGCAATTATCTTTTTTTAGAAAGGACAGATCATAATAAAATGTTATTTATTCTTTAACCGACTTTAACCCAGATCCAAAAATCCTTCAACAGTATGAATTCCTGACTTGAAGTAACTAAGGAATACTAAAAACCTACCTTCCATAATATAAATGAAAGGACCAATAACAAGGTAACACCAACTATTAAGCCGAGGGAAATAATTAGCACAGTAACATGGTATTTTGGCTTTTGGTGGTGCACTCCTTCCAAATAGACCTGCAAAACAGAAAATAAGCTTAGTGCTAACTTTTGGGTTTTTTTCCCTAATAGATACTAAAAAGCCTGGGAAAATTAATTAATTTTTAAAGTAATTAACACTATATTAATTGCTGGTGTACAGGTATGTATAGAATTGTACAATATCAATTGCTGTTAGTTTTTCTACTTTAACATGTTCATCACAAATACATAAGAGAATTCTTACATATGCAACTTGCTTGTCCTTATGTAGTTCAATAACTTTTTCATTTTTTTCTGGCCAGACTGTTGCTCTTACTTCAAACTTCAATACCGAGGCATCATCCTGATTAAAAAAAAAAAAATCTATCTTTTAAAAAATAACTTTTACACACTGATTCCTGCCCAGCAAAAAGTGATAATGCAGCTGCTGACATAACCAGAATCCCACACAAACACACAATGTGTCTTTTTCTGAGCACGAAACAAATTAGTACCAGAAGCTGGAATGAAACCAGGTTGGATTTTACTTCATGTCCATATCCATGCTGCTTTTCTTGGAAAAATACAATTACGAGTTGAATTTAAATCCCCATCCTACATAACCCAGCCAGAATAGACAAAGCAATACATACCATAAATAGAAAGTGATAAACTAAAATATGTATTTTTGTTTTTCATACATCACCTTGAGCCAAAGCATTAGCAACCTAAAATAGGTTAAAACCTAAAAGATTTAGATTTAATCATGTTTGAATCACATTTCACTGATAGAAAACAAGTACTAATACCTTTAATTTATATGCAGGGAATACTGCAAATATGCCTTGAAATATTCCCCTCAAGTATGAAAAATTCATGTGTTACCATTTGTAAAAGTAAAGGAGTAGCCTCCAGATGCAAGTGAACAGTTGCTTCTTTTCCACTTTCCATGTTTCCCAGCTTGCAATGTATTTGTAAGCAAAGGCTGTCATTTTTCATGCAGTACTGTACAAGGGAGGGAAAGATTCAAATTTAATCTTAGCAACTATATAATCTTAGCATTAAAGACAATAGGAAATTACTAAAACAAAAGGATTCATGTTTATTCTTGAAAATTCAGGGTATAACTTGAGGTTGTCATCCATCACTGTCATT